GCTATTGTACTTGTCCTGTGGTTTTTGAGCTGCTGATAGGATCTGCACTGCAGGTGGGGAGAGCTTTAAATGCTGGGGCTGTGGGCGTGTTCAAAATAATGCAAATCATTCAACATAATCTGTGGTCCCCATTAAAGTCAGCGTTGATGCTTGCTTTAAGGTTCAGTAACAAGCAACTTGTTAGTATTTTTGCTCACTTCTTTCCTAGAAATGTAGCAACTAATTGAATTTGTGTTGGTTATATGCATGTCTGCACAGGGAGCCACTTTGCCTTTTAAACTATCTCTTTCATGGACTACAAAGGGCACTGTCTGCTCTTGTCTATTCTCCTCCCATTCCTGGAAGATCTCTGCAGAAATATAAGGGAACTATATCCATGGTGAAACACCCTGGAGCATTCCCATCTTATGATGGTGACAGTTGTAGCCACAGCAAATCAATTATCAGCTCATTCCTTCAGTCCATCGGCCTACACTGCAGCAGCCTCCACACGCAGATGCTTCTTCAATCCGTTTCCCAAGCCACAATTAAGCACGTTTTATCTATGATTTTGAAGAGTTCAGACCAGATATAACTGTGGGACGTAAAATTCACAGAAATTTGTGTGACACTTGGGATACGGGTTTTCGGAAGCTTTCCTGGTACTTAATGCATCTCCACCTGCTTTACCTCATTTATTTTTTATCCACTTCAAAGATTAGCCATCCTAGTGAGTCTTAATGTTTTCATAAACTCAGATGGTGTCCTTGTCTCTTTAATTCTTAACTTCACGGAGCAATGATAAATGTAACTCCATTTAAGTCCATTCTATTTCAGGTATCCACTTTAAGCAATTAGTTTGTCTTTTAAATTGAAGAGATTTTCTGTAATCGTGTACAGCGGAGTGCTTTAGAGTAATAGCCATTATTAGATATCCCGCAGAGACCTTCATCTTTTGATTGAGGCAAATTGAAATGGAGCCTATTTGTTTCTGGTAGTTAAAACAGGTGTTTGCATCCTTGTGCCTTTTTCGTACGATGGGAGTTTGTCTCAAACCCCTTCACAGGATTTACTGCAAAGTGCAGTGACTGTGTATGTATTCTGTAGGTGAACTCTGCAGCCAATTTATGCACAGCAATGTCCCAAAAACAGTCATGAAATGAATAACCAATTTTATTTGGAGATTAGATAATTATTTGGTGGGGGGACAAGTTTGCAGGGCTATGGGGAGAGAGCAGGGGAGTGTGATTGATTTGGATAGCTCTTTTCAAAGAGCCGGCACAGACACAATGGGACAAATGGCCTCCTTCTGTGTTGTATAATTCTATGATTCAATGATTGTTGACCAGAACACCGGGAGAAACTCCCTACTCTTTTCAAATAATGCTGTGGTATCTCTAATGTCCAGCTGAACGTGCAGACGAGACCTCAATTTAATGTCTCATTCAAAGGACGGCAATTCCAACAATACAACATTCCCCAAGCTTGAACCTGTGGAGCTTCAAACCACAACTTTCTGGGTTCACACACAAGGGAGAGTGCTACCAGACTGCCCCACTGATTTGGTTAGATGTTAAAGATGCCATTCCATTGTTTCGTAGCAAGAGATGTCTCAGAGGGGATCTTATGGAGATGCACAAGATTTTGAATGGGATTGAGAAAGGAAACCCAGATCAATACTTCCAGTTAGACCGACGCTAAAGAACAAGAGGCAGAAGTTCAGGGTTGCAAAAGGGCAGACACCAGAAAGTATTTCTTAGCACAGAAGGCAATTAATGATCAACCCACAAATCTTAGGGTCTTCTGCAACTGAAGATTGCATCTGGCCTTAAAAGCAAAGGCAGTGCCATAGAAATAAATGAGGGGAAGGATTTATCACATTGTTTTCTTTTGCTCGGGCATATACATCTACAGTGTGTTCTTTTTTTAAAAAGAATAATAAACGAATAAATAACGATAGGAACATGATAGGAGATTGCAGATAATAAAAAATAGCTGGTTGCTGTGAAGATCTTTTGTGACTTGTGGCAGCACGTGGCTGATTAATGGATTGTGACCACAGAAAGCCAACTGGTTTTCATAACACACTCCTCCAGCAATACCACAAAGGCTTCACTTAATCGAAAAAAAGTCACAATCATAAATGCCATGTACTGTTATCTTAGTGCAGAGTGTGTTTGAATACTTTCACTGTGCACAGTATGGCATCGAGCACAATTGTGCATATTTTTATAATGTTTTGACAGCAGCTTGGGACGTCCTCACAATGTGAAAGGTACTATACAATGTCATTTTGTTGTTGTAATTTTATTGTTGTTTTAGAGTTAAATCCGTATATATTGTGGAGTCCTGTAGCTCAGTGGTTAGAACACTCACCTCGCAAGCGAGAGACCTGGGCTCTATTCCTGGCAGGGCGAAATGTTTCCTTACTCCACACGCCTGCTTACCTAGCAATAAGCACGAACCCGATTGTTAGTCAATTGACGGATCGCTTTTCCGGGGATGATAATCCCTCAAAATAAAAATAATAATTTGGTCACTCAATCCACGACTGTTAGTGGTACACTGCTGTGCGCAATTGGGTGCTGCGTTTCGCCCACAAAATATACAGACAATTGACTTTACAGTATATTCTGCGAAGCGTTTTGAGATGTCTAGAAGATGTGAAAAGCGCTACATCAAATGCAAGGCTTATTAGTATTATTATATAATAATATAAATCGATTGCTTTGTTGCAAAAACAAGCACAATGCCTTAGATCCTGCATTTGCCACCCTGATCTCAACACAGTAAGGCAGCTCAAAGCACCATGGTATGTTGTGCTAAGTCGGGTGCAACACGTTTAGTTGGGAAAGCCTTTTGGCTGAGTGGCACAGCTCCTGACTTTGGTAGATTTGAAATTAAAGCGTGTACTTGTGCCCCAGCTTATGTTCCCAACTTTATTTCTTCCAGGTGTCTTTAATGTCCTCAGCTTGTCAGCAACCAGTGTTTGTGGAAAAACAGTTTGCCTCTGTTCTCTGTCTGTCTATACTTTGTGTGTTCTATGGTAGTTTTGTTTTTAGCCTGTTTTAAAAAAAAATTGCTTAGTTCCAATTTGAGCCGTCCTCTTGGACATGTCACCAAATATACTGTTGGTCATGGAATTCAGTATTGCAATTCCTTTTGAAGCTGTTTGTCCATGATATAGGATTCTCCAGTGATCTAAGGAGGATATATGTCTTGGGTGTTCACCTCCCCGGTGGTCTAGGCAGTTCACAATTGTGGCTTCCTCTTCCTTGGTGGTCTGATTACTGCTGCTCTGATTACCCAATTCTAGATTTAGAGGATCTACATCTTTGGCTTCTCTCCTTCTCACTCCATTGCAACATGGCAGTGGCTCAGCAACTAACAATCAGCGATCGCTGGAATCATAAGCAGCAATCTTGTTGTGTAATATATAATCGTGCATCTGACGAGTGTGGTTTGAAGTCTGTGAGTATCTCCACAAGCTGCAGATCATCCAAATCTCTGCAACTCATGTCCTCTCCCGCACCAGGCTCCGTGACCCCATCACACCCACCCTCGCCTGGTTCCACTGGTTCCCCATCCTTCAGAGGATTGAGTTCAAAATTCTTGTCCTCACCTTAAAGGCCCTCCATGGCCTTGGCCCCTCCAACCTCACAGTCCTGCTAACCCCTTATCAACCTGTCCGCTCCCTTCGCTCAGCAGGCTCCAGCCTACTCCATGCCCCCGCCCAGCCCACCCCATCATTGGCAGTCGGGCCTTCAGCCTCTCTGCCCCCACCCTCTGGAACTCCATCCCACCTTCCCTTCACCTCGCTCCCTCCCTTGCCTCTTTCAAGGCACGCCTCAAGGCCCTCCTCTTCAACTGTGCCTTCGGCCACCCTCCTACCCCTTGTGCCCTCCACCCTCCCTGATCCCAAAATAGGATCAAAAAAATTCCTAAAAAAAATAGGAATAATAATTTGGTCACTCAATCCATGACTGCTTGTGGGACACCACTGTGCACAACTGGCTGCCGCATTTCATCCATAAATTATACAGTTAATTCACTTTGCAGGTGTATTCTGTGAAGCACTTTGAGACGTCTCGAATAAGGCGCTATATCAAGTGCAAGGATTATCAATATTATCACGTAGATATAACATCTCAAAGCCCTTCACAGGATATACTGTAAAGTGACTGTGTATTTTGTGGACGAACGCAGCAGCCAGTTGCACACAGCAGTGTCCCAACCCCTGGAGTACGTGATCAATTCTACTTGAGGGATTTATTGGCCAGGAGAAACTCCCTTCTCTTTTTGAATAGTGCTGTGGGGTATTTAACGTCCACCTCATTAGGTAAACAGGTACTCAGTTTAATGTCTCATCTGAAGAATGGCACCTCTAACAATACAACGTACCCCCAGCACTACATTGGAGTTTCAGCTCTTAGACGATGTGAGTTCAGTACCCATTGTGGGATTTGAACTCACAAACAGCTGACTCAGAAGCGAGAGTGCTACCACTGAGCCAAGCTGATTCTGTTTAAATTGGCATCTCTGAGGAACAACCATTTTCACACTGAATGTGTTCCTTGCAAAACAAGCAAACTGTGGAGAGAGACAGAAAGCAGATTGATTTTTCCAATCCATATCATACCTGAAGCAATTAATTTTACTAGCTGTATGATTCTTCATTTATTTATTGAAGTCAATAATCCTCTTCTGTAGTTTCTGCACATGGCTGTTTTTGATCTCTAAATGGTGCACGCATGGTTAAACACGGATGGGAATCAATAGATCGGACATTTCAACAACAGATTGTATTTAAACAGCGCCTCTCTTGTACATCTCGATTCTTGAAACATGTAACTGGTGGGCGCCAAGCAGGGATGTAAGAGATTGAAAAAAATGACCGAAGGCAGAGAGAGATGTAGCGAGTGAGACGAGGTGTATTTGGAAGATGGTTGCAAGCGTGCGCCACACTGTTTGTTGAAGTAAACCCGAACGGTTGAGATTGATGTTGTTATTCTCTTTCCCAGGAACAAAATGTCTAGAGAAGAAGATGAGCTTGGCGATGCGGAAAAATCCCAATCCACTAAAGACACCATCTCACGTACAGCCATCACAGATGCCACAAGTGGTTTACCTGAAGGATATTGTCTGTTATCTCTCTCTGTTGGAGAGAGGACGACCCGAAGACAAGCTGGAATGTAAGCTAATTGCTGTGGCTTTTATTGATCAGCTGCTGGGCACAATGTTGTAATCAGATTCTGGAAGAGTAGGTGCTTGGCAATGGTCCTTGCCTTATCATGTTTTCAAGATGTCTCAAACCGCTTCACAGAATATACTGTAAAGTGAATTGTCTTTTATCATATTAACATTTCATCAACTTCCTTTTCTGTACTGAACATTCATTCACTGCCATACAAAATTTACCAAAATTTGCAAAGACTACAGCACAGAAACTGGCCACTCGGCCCAATCAGTCCGTACCAATGTTTATGTTCCACAACTCTCCACCCCTTCCTTGCACAGACTGAAAAACGTTACCTGGAATTTCAGTTTGACAATGTAACAATTCAGTATTCGGAACAAATTTGATTTTAAGTTAGCAAGCCAGCGCCATTGTCTTCTCTGTTGTCTTGTCATTTTGTAACTTGAATAAGAGAAAACGAACTATTTACTAACTAAATTAGTTAAATTTAAACTAAATTAGGCAAATAGGATTGAGCACAGTTGCTGGTGGAGACTTTAAATATAGTCAGTTTAATATATAGTTTAAATATACCTGTGCTCAGCAATCCTACAAAATAAGAACATAGTGTTTCAACCCAGAATAAACATGTTTTAATGAGCGTTCTGTCTTTGCTAAATGAACAGGTAGTTCTTTAGCTCACATTTATGAACCATGATATAACAAGACTTCTTGTTTGTAGCAGCGATCAGAAGTATGTTTTACAGGTCTTCAACTCAAACCTATAGTGTCAGCCTCATAGTGCTCAGATGGTAGCACTCTGCACTCTCGCCTGTGAGTCAAAAGGTTGTGGGTTCAAGCCCCAGGTTGGGACTTGGAATCACATAGTCTAATGCAGTGCTGGGGCATGCTGCATTTGTCGGATGAGACATTAAAGACTTTAAAGATCCTATGGTACTATTTGAAAAGAGAAGGGAGTTTCTCCCGCTGTCCTGGCCAACATTCCTCCAAATAAAATTGGTCATTCACTTCATGGCTATTTAAATGTTTGTTTAATGTTTTTTTTAAAAAGAAAATAAAACCATAATATTAAAATGTCATGGTGACAAAGAGCAAAAGAGAAGACAGATTTGTATCTTAAACGTCTACCATTTTGGAGACTCAGGATTGTTTCATTAGCTTCGCAAAACATTCAAGGCTTGAAGAATGACCCTTTTGTTACTTTGAAACTAGTCCTGAATTCTATTTTGAAACTTAAGCACCTTTCAGTTTTAAAACCTACTCTTGGCAATAGAGTTTTGCATTGTAAATATTTTAAAAGGAGAGATTAATCTCACTCTACGTGTATGACCTTGTTGAGAGAACATGCCAGGTGCATAAGGAGGAAATGAAGATGACACATTGATCTGGTTTGGCAAAAGTACTGCAGTACGCAGCACGCAGCTAACCCACTGTGAACAAAGCAATTAAAACAGGTTATTGCATAAACAGGCACCAAAATGTACTGATGAATTAAGTTTGTCAGGATTAGGAAGTGCCAGATGTGACAATTCTTAAGGGGCTTGGGCATTAGAAATTTCTGATTTGCAAGCCAAAAAAATGCACAGCACCTTGGTGATCGTCAAGAGAATGGCATTTGATTTGATGGGGCTGGAGTTAGAAGCACCAGCTTCCTGTACAAGCAGACATTTGAGATGTTCCCATCATCATTAAACTTAATAAGGCTTTCATGCTTTGTACACTGTGTGGCTGGCGTCTACCCTAATGATTTCACCTGTCATTATTTCCACCGTTTTATCATCTCTTCTGCAGGAGATCTGGAGATCCATCTTCCAGCTTTTCTGTTTTTCTGAAAGAAAAGTGAGACATGGAAGTGACTGAATCATTGCTGAGGCAGAATGAGGAAGGTCTTCAGGTGCGATCTGAAGATGGGGAAGGAAGGGGCAAGGCAGAGGGATAGAGGAAGAGTGTTCCAGAGTTTCGGGGCTTAGTGGCTAAAAAGCATAGCCACCAATGGTGGAACGGAGGGCGTGATGGGCATGCAGGAGGTCAGAGCCTGTCGAGTGGAGGCAACGTGTTGTGGGTAAACAAGTCCAATCGATTTCAGGCAGGGAGGGTCCAGGGCATGAAGGGAATTAAAAACGACTGTGAGGATCTTGAAATCGATCTGTTCTGCGATCGAGAGCCAGTAGAGCCTGGCTAGGACTGCTGTAATGGGGGTATCGGGTTTAGTACAGATGAGTATGCGGGCAGCGGAGTTTGGGATCAGCTGGATTTTGTGGCTGTGGAGCTGGAGAGATGGCGAGGAGGGCATTCGAATAATCGAGGCGGGAGGTGATGACACTGGGGAGATCCTCCCTTGTCTTTTCAAATAGTGCAATAGGATCTTTAGTGTCCATCTGAACAAGCAGATTAAGTTTAATGTCTTATTTGAATTTCTGCACCCCCCAACTTGCAAGACATCTGAGCACTGCACTGGAGTGTCATCCAAGACACTGAATTTAGTTCTGATTTAGTTCTGATTTGGAGCTCGACCCCACACCCCTCTGGTGCAAAAGTAACAGAACAAAACAAAATTACATTTGTATAAGCGTCTTTCACTTTGGGAGGATGTCTCAACTGAGCCAGGCTGACACCTAAAAAATCATGTGTTTGGGCATATTTGTCTGTTATTAAGTTAACTGATTAGGAATCATTTTAAACTCCAGAAACGTTATAAAACCTGGAGAGGACATTAAGTCCTCTCCAGTGGACATTAAGTGGAGTCCTGTAGCTCAGTGGTTAGAGCACTCGCTTTGCAAGCGAGAGACCGAGTTTAATTCCAGGCAGGGCGAAACCTTGGGCAAGTCTCCTTACTCCACACACCTAATAATAATCCCTCCAAAACAAAAAAAACAATAATGAATTGGTTATTTTCAATCTACGACTGTTTGTGGGACACTGCTGTGCGCAATTGGCTGTCGCGTTCGCCCACAAATATACAGTCAATTCACTTTACAGTATAATCTGTGAAGCGCTTTGACATGTCGAGAAGACGTGAAAAACGCTATATCAAATGCAAGGATTATTATTATTTTATTAAAGTTTTAAAAACCCCATGTAAACCTGGTGGATGAGTGCTATCTAGTGGACATGTTGAGCAATTCATTTGTTATTAACCTGCTGTTATACCAATGGCCACGAGATGGTGATCCAACGCAGCTTAAATAACAATTCACAAATCTGTTTCATTACAGAAATATGTTATCTTGGGAAAAAAAGAGTGTAATTTAACTATAATATCGTTGCATGTCTAGAGGGGTGGGAGCATAATCTCGGAGTTAATATAGATTTGGCTGCTGCATACTTCAGTCAATGGATAGAACATGAGAAAACCTGATGAATGAGTGGAGATTTTTGCTGCTTATTGCTGGTTGACAATGAAAAAGTTCTGAGTTGGGAAAGTGGAGTGTTGTTCAGTCTATGATTGCTCAGTGAACTGAAGTTGCAGTTAGAACATCAAAAACAACAACAACTTGCACGCCCTCCTGACTCCGAGCTGAGGGAAGTGGGGAGGTGGGCCGTGAGTACGGTCGAAGAGAAAAGTTTTTGGGTGGGACTTGAAAGAGGGGGGAGAGGGGGCAAGGCGCAGGGATTGAGAATGTTCCAGAATTTGGGGGGATATTGGCTGAAAACGCGACCTCCGATGGTGGGGCGGAGAGTGTGAGGGACGAGCAAGGATTGCTGGGTGGTGGATTGGGGAGTGAGGAGGTCGGAGAGGTAGGGAGGTGCCAGGGAGTGAATGGATTTGAACACGATAGGTTGCAGTGTGTTTTTATGGATTGCAGAGGTTGAAGTGTGGTTGTGCATCCTGTCAAAAGCATTCGGGGTTTGCTTTCATCCCTAGGTCAGCTTCCTTCCAATTTGACCTAGGAACCTGAGATGATTTCTCAACTTGCAAGGCTGTAATTTAAATGAATGTTAGTGGTATTAGAGAGTATTCCTTTTTGTAATTTGATTAAAAATCGATAGGCTGTTTGTAACTCTGTCTAATGCTGTGTCAAATGAAGCAAACCATGTAATAACTTCCTCTGTGAATTTTGATTTATATTAATCCCTGCACAAACAGAGATCATGGATTCTTCAGTTTAGATTATTATGCACTCATTATTATTGATTACAGTGCAAGCAATAACCCTTTGTTCTGCGTTAAGTAGATAAACAGGTTGAATCTTCTGCTGGTTGACTTGGCTCAAGGATCTTTAATGTAAGTAGATCAATATAAGAATAATATAACAATCCTTGCATTTGATATAGCGCTTTTCACGTCTTCTAGACGTCTCAAATCGCTTCACAGAATAGACTGTAAAGTGAATTGACTGTATATTTATGGGCACCTGTTATGAAGATACTTGAGTACCGAATGCCTACAAGGCAACCACAAGCTAGACAGACTCTTAGTTAGAGTTGAGGTTCTGACTTAATATTTTTAGGTAGTTAGTAAGTACTCCAGATATACCTGAAAAATGGATGCTCTTTGTATAGATCACTGGTGAGGCCACATTTGGGAATATTGTGTGGCGTATCAGAGGGACGATCAACCATCAGCAAAGGATGAAAATGAACCGGGGACTTCGAGCTCTCTCTCAGTCGTAAGCTTTCCTATGAGGTGCTCCTCATAAAAAAAACAATAAAACTTGCATAAGTAGTATCAGTCAAGAACCATAACATTTGATGACTTACGTAAAATATCATATATGACTTAATCAATAATCGACACTGTGTGTGCGTACTTCAATGTAGCCGGTAAGTGTGGTAGTGGTGTTACAAGTTAGGAGTTGATTTACGTAAGATTTAGGATGTAATAATAAATAATAACACTTGCATTTGATAAAGAGTTTTATCATGTCTTAGAGACATCTCAAAGCACTTTACGGAATATATTGTAAAGTGAATTGACTGCATATTTTGTGGGCCAAACAAAATACTGCTGTGGAAAATTTGGCTACCTCATCACCTACAAATTGCCCAACTGTT